ATGGGTATCAAATGAAAGGACTTACAGAGAATACGAATGCGAGTTTTAAAAAAATAAGATACTGAACATAAACTCCGTTATTCAATCCGTCTGAAATTTTGGTGTACTGGGGTTTTTGGAATCATCGATTATGATATTGAGGTCGAACTGTTCAAGTCTGTAGGAACTGTTAGTTAACTTTGACTTGTGTAATTTGGTGAGATAGGCGTCAATAGCATTGGTTTGCAACCTGTCTAGGAGAAGGAAAACTCCAAAATCAAGCCCAGAACTGTGTTTCGTAAGGCACGAATCTGACCCCTGTATACTATTTACATAGATACCATAGAAATGAACAACTTCATATTAATTTATTTTTACAAAGATTTAAAAGTATTTAAGAACGACAACCAACACGTGTTTCGTATCATAGGTACACTAATGTGCTTAAAATTTACAAAAACGATATAAAAGAATATCCCTAAATTAGTCGTGTCATCCCTAATGCGCATGCCCGGAAAGAATAGCCTCATACGCAGAAGAGATCTTGTTGGTATGTAATCGCTTTCATCATTAGTATAATTATTTTCTCTTTTTTTATTTAATCTTGGCATTTTCTAGTACTAAGAAATATTTTTATTGTTTTTCTTGGTGTTGTGCTGTGTCAGTATATTTATCGAGTGTTTTTTTCTTCATGTGGTTTATTATAGACGTACTTTCACCATAACCATTTTTTTCTTGAATGATATCCTGTTGCGAGCTTACATGAAATTATTTTTAATGCGCATGCTCAGTAACATTGATATAATTTTAATTTATTAATTACTATAAAAGTCAATATTGTTCTATAAATTTAAATACATAGTCTATTATTCATTTGATTTGTCACTTGAGGTTTGAAACTTCTTAAACATTTCTAATATTGCCAGAATATCGCGATTATAAGATCGTGGCAAATAAGACATTTTTTTTGGCACTTATGTCCAAAGTACATAAAGTCGAAAATCGATTTAGTAAAACATTGAGAAATTCTTCATGACAATGTGCACAATGTTGCCTATTATTTGACGTATGTGACGTCACTACTAAAAAGGGCTATTCGCGCGAATTAGGCCGCAGGAATCTGCACGAACGTCCCAAATACGCAAAAAGCGGTCGTGCAAAATCTGTTTCGGTTAGATACATTGAATTTCTTGGTTAGCGCGATTTGGTCCGTATCATCCTGATCACACGAATGGTACGAAGTCTATAGAACCGAATTTGCACGAACTTGATAAAAAAAATTAGCTGTTTGAGCAGACAACTTTGATACAGACTTTATAGAATTTTGATTTATTCATACTGAATATTATCATGACATTTTATGTAAGAAAAATTGTTCTGCCCGTTTGCAAACACAGTATATGGTTTCAAATCTTTTGACAACAGTACATTTTCGGTTTAAGAAACTGCCATAACCAATGTTCGCGTCTGGAAATTCCGTCGTAAATTTCCAATGCAGAATTGCAAAGAGTATGTCCAGGACCCATTATCATTTCGACTTTTACTTTGAAAATGAATCATGACAATAAATTTATTTTGTTCGGAAGGAAAAGCCATAATGCATTCTGAAATAAAAATATTATTATCCTCAAAATTTTGTTTCTATCACAACTTCTAATAAGAAATTTTTTGAAAAGTTTAAAATAAAAAGAAATACCTACTTCTTATAAGGAGACAAAAAATTGTTATGTATAATACGGTGTTTTTAATTTATGGTATAGATAGTAATAAATAAAATAAAAGTTTAGGACCGAGAGCAACTTATACAAATGCGGTTGCCAAGAATATTTCAGCGAAACTGAATTTCAGGACTTCCGCGTTCAACCAATTTCCTGCTTGAAATTCCATCACGCGCCTTGTCGAATTCATATTAAAGAGCCGTATATCAAATAAACAAAATTGTTTTAAGGATGTGAAATAGCATCATAGGATTTTATTTATTAACAAATTTCAATGTAAATCCTGCAATATTATTTTCTGTAATAGGATTTTCCAGGAAATATTTCAGTTATATTTAGTTATTAGGTATATTTAATCAATCCTTCATTAACGGAACGATTTTAATTAATTTGATTCAGTCTTTTATATTTAGTTAAAAATGGCCACATGTCCAACTACGAAGCATAATACAAAATTAAAATATGTATATAGATATTAATTAATTAATAATTTGATTTTCCAATTTGCAACATGTTCAGAAAGGTTAACAAATGTGCATAAATTTGTATAGCTCGAATTTGTTACTAATTCCTAATATTCGACATTATTTAAATTCAAAAATATTTATAAATATGCAAATACGAGAACATTTTGTATTTCTGTTATTATAAGGGACTGAAAGACATTTAAATTAGAAAATCTTTTAAGGCGATTTCATAGCAAAGATATCCTCAAATGAATTATGTCAGGCATTTTATATTTTACTTTATACATTCTTGAAAGCATTTTCTATCCCTTATAGTTTATTTTCTTCGAGTATTAGGTACTAAAAGTGTAGAAAACAATTATTGTTCACGAAGCTACCTGTTAGACAAATCATTAATTAAATCTCGCAAATTTATGCTGTTGGTCGAAAAAAGTATCAGAGAAAGCTCTAAATTTAATTACATTGCCAAGAATAATAAATTTACGAATCAATATCGTTATTGCAATCTCATTTTGAGAGTTCGCACAACTTCTACAGACAGAATAATGACAATCGGTTTTCTGTAAATTTTATTTCAATTCACAAGTCAGGCAGCAACCAGAAACTTTATTTTTAGACGCTTTCAAAGAGAGCTTTATTCCGATCCTATCAATATCCATTCTCTCCAGAGCATCTATGCATTGTCATTGTCGTCCCTCGAACGCTTCTTCTCGACATTGTGGCTTTCTCCTGAGTTGCTGTTGTACGGATTATTTTAGCACATCATAAGAGACCTGTTTAGCTACTGCTGCATTTTGCTCGTCTAAAAGGAGATATTACATCTTTAAATGCACGTATTTAGTAAAACATGCCTTATTTTTGATCACATGTAAACAAAGTGCAGATATTCAGCCAGTTTTGCTAATACTTTCTGTGCTAATTTACTATTATAAGGTTTAAAATTATTTCGGCTCCGACTGAAAAGAAATAAAGCATAAATCAATCTTCGTGTCAAAATATGCCTTCTTAGATGACCATTTTTAAAGAAAAATGAGAAAGTAGGTATAGCTTGAATGCATACGAGTATAAACACAATTTCTGAAGTATTACGAAGTTTGTAATATACATATTAATCTTTGATAAAATTTGATTTTTATTATTTGTATTACTCTTTACCAAAAGAAATTTTTTATAAATTTTAAATTACAGCTGCCGGTTACTTTCATAGTCTTTCCGATCTCAATTGAAGAACCAAGAGGTTGGCAGTATGTACCAGGTTCAGTCGCTGACGCAGCAACTCGCCATTGAAATAATTGAAAAACTTGTTCCCATATTTATTTAGCCATGCCTATATATAGATCTATAGAACTAAACGTGGAGGTGGTACAAATGTATACGCCCAGTTAAAGAATGCGCGCGCGGGCAAACGAGATACAAACACAGCTGCATTGGAAAACTGGGCAATAAATCTCAGTTGTTGACTAGTGCTTGACAAATTGCGTAGCAGTGCAGTGCAGCAATGCGGAATTTCCTTTTTCTAAGTTAGCCAATCCCATTTTTTCGTGTATACTTAATGGTTTACAAGCAAAAAATAAATTATTTTTCCTTGCCGATTAAGTACACATAATTAGTATAACAGATTTCAAAAACGATCGTCATTTTTGATATGCTTTTTGCAAAAATTCTTTTTTATCAATAGGAAAAGCTAAGCAAATATGAACTAAAAATTTAGTAAAAATAATAATAACAGCCATTTTGAGATTTGAATATTTTCTCAGGGGGGCGCTCAAATCGAAAAAATGTATTAGAAATACCCCCCCTAAAATTACTTTTTAAACACCTCCTTAAAACATTTGCACGTCATTATGAAACACTGTATATTAAAAATAAGATAAAAAAGGTTTTTACAGACCTAGGTCGAGAAATGCCGTCTTTTATTTTGTTTTTTTTACAATGAATTCGCAAACAGAACCGCACTCGTTTCCTTAAAGAAACTACACTATTTCTTATTTGAATACTATTTCTAATTTCATTTGCAACTTCGTTGAACTTAACCTTCATAGTTTCTATTGTTATTTTTTGTCGATTCGTTCTACAACAGTAAAAAATTGGGGGTACATATTGTTTAATATGTATTTGTTTATTTGTTATTATGACTGTATATATTGTTCAGGCTTATAGTTACTTCTTTGTGTTATTGTTTATTTCAAAATCTATGTTTCACACTGTAAAAAAAATGATGCAATTCACTCCAAAGTCTAAAAAATTGTGTAGGGGTTTGTTTAAAGAAAGTATACAATTGAAAATATTCGTAGGTGCATAACTTAAGTCTTAAAAAAGGAACTGGCTATGTCGACGACACTTGCAATAGAATAAAAAAAAATAAAGACTGCCCCTAAGTATCCCACAATTTAAACGGTATTGAGAATTTTTTTAAGTTAAATCAGTGCGTTTCCAGTAAAATATATATGTTTATTAGAGAAACTACACCATTCTCGACTTAGCATTTTCAAATCTACATTAAACTATTGTTCAGACATCCTCAACAACGAGGTAAGTAATAATAAGACGAATAATATTTATTACAAAAAACTATTACAATCGATCTTCGGTCATTCTGATTTTGATTAAAAGTTTTGAAAACAAAAACAATTTTTATATACTTTCTTAGTGTAAGATATTTTCAGTAAGGCAAAGATAAATTTATAAAATAAATCCCTTAAATAATCACGTTGTCACAATTCTTTAAAGACTAAAAAAAATTATTTATTATTCTTCTCAAAATACCCAATTAAATAAAAAAAATTTGCATATACATATTTTTATTAGAAAAATATTTTCACAATCCCGTCTTTACTTTAGGTATAAAAAATACACATTTATAAAAAAAAATAAAATAATAATTGCAAATCGACAAATGCTGCAATAAAACAATCAAACGGACTCAGTTTGAACGGCAGGCTGCGTCGTAAATTCTGGCACAGTTGCTTCTACGACAACATCACTGGATACTGAAACCAGTAGACAAAAACCTATTAGCATACACAATACCATAAAAAGAAACGCGAAAGTAAGAATATATACGCAGGAAATAAAAATTAATGAGAAAAGATAAAGGGTTCTGCTACAGTATCGATCTTCATAGGCAGGATCGTATTTTGGTTCGAATGCTCTATATACCCAAACAGAACCTGAAAAATCGTAAATAGTAAAAAATATTTTCTAAAGTCGTTTTTGAGATTATTTACCGCATATCAAAAACGTCACTTCCACCAATCCCATGACGGACAGAATGACATCTATTTTCAAATAACGTAATATGAAATTTCTTCCTAAGCTCAATAGTTTTGAGACTAGACCAATAACTCCTACAACAGACAGGTCAATCAATCAACAGTGAAAGATCCAAGATAGGTTTACAGACATTTTCATGGGACAGCTTATACGATGATATAGCAAATCATATAAAAATTCACATTTAAGAAGGAATTATATCATTAAAAGAAAAGAAACTTTAAATCCGTTTCCCCTATGAACCATAGATATACTGAATTTTGTTATGGTGAGGCGCCAAAGAAGGTTCTTTAAAATCAAATTTTGACCAGCTTTTCCAAAAAGCAATGTGTTGCATTATGACTTGATATAACTTTTTGAGGTTAGTTTCCCGTATTTAAATCACATATTTATTGTATTCTCACAACAGAGATTATCTCTACGTAACAGAATATATTTAGGGATAGTTGGTCACTGACTATAGCATAGTCAATTGCGTTTTTCTTGAAAACGATTTTCAGCAACTTCAACAAGAGCACATAATTTGTGTAAAATGAAATTTTACATATGGTAGGTATGCACAAATACATTGCAGGAAACGTATTCTCAAACAAAAAGTTGTTTCCAAAATGCAGCTGATAAAAAACATAGCTAGCGAGTTCTACAGAATAATCGAATATTAACAATAGGTACTGATGTATTCAGTAACCTTAACAATTTACATGTACCAAATTTCTAGCGACACATTGCTATTTGAAGAAAATATAAACAAAATTTTATTTAAAAAAATCATAGGTATCTGAATTTCTTCTTGTAAAAATGTGAAGATCATACATGTATCGAATATTCACTGATCTGTAGAATTTAAAAAACTTCTTTCCGCTACTTAAACTTTCGTATTTCTATATTTTTAGGTATTACAACATATAATAATAAACAATGGTAAAAACAATAATTTATAGAGCGTTACAATGAAATCTTGATCTACCTGTGTTTTTGTACACATCAATTTTTTTTAAAAATACACTGAGTGACATGTTATATTAGATGATAATCCATTCGAAAATGTATTTATACGAAATGTTAGATTAAAGCAAACAGTATTTTTTTATACTGTACAAAATTACAGGGTACTATCAAGTTTTCATATTAATGTATACCTACCAAGTGCAACAGCAAGAAAAAATATTTTTTTGCAATTCATCAAACTAATTTAGTAACGTAAAACATATATTTTAAAATATAAAGCTAGTATCATTTATAAAGTTACCATACATACCTTCAGCTATCAAAAATACTGGAATATTGGGTGACGCTGGACACTTTTTAAAGTTTATTTCGCCAATAATTATCATTACAATGTGAATAATTATTGATATTACTAAGTATGTAGTTAAGCTACCTAGAACAATAAAAAAATAATAATAAAATGTAAAAATATGCCTATATACAGGTTGTGTCAGAAATCTATGTTATAAATTCAGGATTGGATCATTTTAAAATAGGTTTAATGAACCAAGGACCTAAAGCTATTTTTTTGAGAAGGGGGTGGGCAAGAAGTTTAAAAAAAATCAAACAAAAGTATAAAATAAAAAATACAAATATACGAAGCGGTTAATAATTTACCCAATTAAAGGCAAAAAACCTAATGAAATGATTTTCAAATATGTATGTCCACTGGTGGAGAGACTGTATGAACGCTGTCGTCTCTCAAAAAAGTTCATGGATTTTTCTTTTTGTTAGAAATACAATTTTAAATATATAAACTAATCGTCCAGGAAAAAGTCGTCTGAAATTTTGTATTTCTGTTAGAGACACGATCGGAAAGAAATTGCAAAAATTAGTTTCCTGAACTTTTCATAACATTGTATTTAATACCGTACATTTAGAAAAAAAATCATATGAACTTTTTTGCAAAACGAGTAGTTCATAGGTTAGGTTAGGTATAAACAAATGCTTGGTCATTAATGAAAGTTAAAAGAAGTAAACTGAAAATGATTCGTTTTTATAAACACTATAAAAATATTCTAAATATTCAGTGGCGTCGAACTTATGAGGTTTTTAGTAAAAGTAACTTCTTATGTTTCCGCCATTGATATACATATTTGTATCCGAATTCAGTGGATTTTTATCTTTAATTAACTAGATAAATTATTAGTTTCGTCTTAAAAGGTCTTTTAGAAAAGGTGATTTTGTTTTAATTTCAACACCTTGTACTTTGAACATTATCGATTTGCGGATCCATGTTCATATAACCTTTTGGTTTATAGTCACGAATAAACATACCTTGAAAGTTTATCGATGTACTCAATGAAGACGATGTACATATTTGCTTTAACTGACAGCGAAATGTCAAAATCAAAAGGGCAAGAGAAAGCGTGGATTCAGTGAAGATAACAATTTAAAGAACCAAATAGATGTTCTGAATGTGAAAAAAAAAGAAGTATTTATATCTGTGATTGTTATAGAAAACATAAATCTTTAATTTTATCTATCTGGAGTTGAATGGTAAAAAAAATATTATCGTTCATATTGTTCTTCAACTCGACAAAACAGAAAGTGCGGGTTTACCACCTTCTTTATCTGTTGTCATTTTTCTATAATGTGATTAAGTATTCTCGGTTTTTATGAAATCGTTTCTACAAAGAATGCGTGTAAATTGGATTAGGTCAAATCAAAAACTAAACATAGATATGATAATATCGAACAAATTATGGCAGTGACTATACATGTCAAATAATTCAACATAACAAAGCAATGTTTTCAAATATTTAAAGATGGGTAGAGAATAGTTCAATCGTGCAATTAATAGAATAATAATAGATTAATAAGTAATGCAACCAACATTGCAGGACTGGTACTGGTAACGAAAAGTTAGCTTCACCAATATTAATGATTCGTTTACAATGAACAATCACAAACCCTTATACCTACGCTCAAGATAATGCGATCGCTGATTGGTTGAATAGAATCTCGTGAAAAACTAGACCAATCACAGCCGGTGAAACAGAATGTTGTATTTTATGTAATTTTTATCTAATTGTTTTAATACTATCTAATTTTATAGAAATTGTATTACCAACATGAAGGAAATTCAAACAAATTATTGGACACGTGGTCATTAGGTACATACAGGGTGTCCCAGAATAACGTGTACAACGGAAGACAACAGAATCGTGGACTCAAAATAGTCATATTTAGGCAAATTCACCTATATCTGAAATGGCTTCGTTTAGTCCCTAGATGGCCTCAAAGTTCGTGAAAATATTTTGAATTTTGTAAATAACTCGAATACGTATTAATCGATTTTGATTATTTTTGAATTGTGGACTTTTGTTTTCAATCTACACATTTTGGTGTCATACAAAATTGATGTGTGGTGATAATATCCGCTCATAACTTTTTCCTCTTTCGGGCAATAATGATGAATATTTTTTATTTAATAGATGATACCATTTGGAAGTTTTTGGGCCTCTTATAGAATTTTTATTAAATGAGCGGTTCGGGTACAAAAAAATATTTTTTAAATGTCTACATTATCTTGTCACCCATATTACAATACTTAACAAAGTGCTATACTAGTAGTCACTGATTTTGGTAAGTTGACTGTAATTTTAGTATGATATTTGAGTCATTGTACCTGCCAATTCTTCCTGCGATAAGATATACTACATGTTCATTTTTTCGATATGGCTACACACATACGACGAATTAAGAGTTATTTACAACGTGCCTAATTTTATTGAAATAAAATTCGCAAAAACAATCAAATACAATAAAAAATGCTGGAGATAAAAGTAACAAAGTTGAGGTTATTAAATTTAGTACAACTTATTATAAAAACTGTTTAAAACGACCACGGTTGTTTCTATAACAAAGATTAATTCGGCGAAGAAAGTTAAAGGACACCCTTTGCAGTTCTTAAGGGCTATTTTTAAAAAACATTTATGGCATTTTGAATATGCCTCCACAACTCAGTGTTAGTTGTGGATGCACTATTGTTTTCAGAGTGCCCCAAAAATAATAGTCACAAGGTGTTAAGTCTGGTGAACGTACAGGCCAGTTAACAGGAACATTATCTCCTCTACCGATCCATCGACGAGGGATTTTTGATTCATATACTGCCGGACATTTACAGTGAACTGTGGTGGAATGTTAACGGCACATCTCCAATAATTCGGGTTTTGCAAAAATTCTAAATAAAATTCCCTTTTCGGTCTATTGGGTAGAATAATAGGGCCAATAATAATGCTATCCCAAACAAGAGCAAACAGAAATTACAGTCAACCTACAAAATCAGAGCCTACTAGCCTTTTGTTAAGTATTGTGATATGGGTGGCAAGATAATGTATAAATTTAAAAAATATTCCAAACCGCTCATTTAATCAAAATTCTACAAGGGGCCCAAAAACTTCCAAATGATATCACCTATCCAATAAAAAATAGTTGTCATTATTACCCGAGAGAGGAAAAAGTTATGGACGGATATTATCACCATACATCAATTTTGTAGGAGTTTTAAAAAACTCTATATAACACCAAAATTTTTAGATTGAAAGCAAAAGTACACACTCCAAAAATAATCAAAATCGAATAATACGTATTCGAGTTATTAACAAAATTCAAAAAATTTTTACGAACTTAAGGCCATCTAGCGGACAAACGAAGCAATTTTGGATATAGGTGAATAAGTCTAAATCTGCCTATTTTCAGTCCTCGAATCTGTGGTCTTCCATTATACACGTTATTCTGTGACACCCTGTGTATGTATACAATATAAAAGATCCACAACCATTAATAGTTGAGACATTTTTTTGCTTGATGTTACTTGAAATATTTCACAGACAAATAATCATAAGTAAAAAAGCATTTTTTGCAAAACCCATAAGAAAAGTCGCACATCAAAAAATATTTACTAATGCTCTAACATCTGCGAAAGAAAATGAAATTATAACCACATTATTGGAAAGCAGTGCGCTGCAATATTTATTCTTTATATAAATGTAAATTATATATAAAACAACACTGCATTATATTACTATTTACTAAGCTTTCTTTTTATAATTTGCGCCTAATTCAAAGGCTTTTTATTCACCGATAATAAATCTATGTCTGGCTTATACGATATTGCGCTACAAAACTATGAATGTTCCATTACATTTTTCTAGTTCTCCAGAACTTAAACATCTTTTTCTAACTATGTATTAATGTCTACCTACGCTGTTTAACTGTTGATGATTTAGAACAAATATCAATAATGCACTGTTATTACAGTCAATGCACACTTACTACATTTTATCGGTAATATTAATTACTGTCATTAGCATATACATAATAAAATTATATGTTATAGTTATTAAATTCATTACTCCTACCTACGTTATACTAATTACATTGTTGCATTACTAATTGCCAGTTACATTGCTCTGAAAGTCTCGACAAATTTTCAAATTTAGAAATTAAACTCGTTCCGTTCTATGAAACATTAGAAATAAAATATTTGAATCATTTTTATATGTAACCTATTTCCGATCTACATAACCCAACTCTATAGATAAAAACTATAGTACTAAGTAGGTATTTACCTTTCAGTTTCTTCAGCCTTTCTTTAACCCTTTCAAATCTTATTTTTATGTTGATCTTTTTCTGTTCAAAATTTTCGGCCATGGTTTCACAGCGTGTTCACATTCCTGCACTAGTACTAAGATTCGACTAAATTTAATATATTTTTGCTACGACATAGCACAGACGAATGGCGCAGCCATGGAAAGAGATAAATATAGAATAAGGCTTTAAATTCTTACAAACTGAACCTAAACAAACATACAATTGTCAACAGTTAGCAGTTTTCAGCGCAGGTTTAAAGTTCTGAAAAAGACTGAATTGAGTTTTGAGGATGGAAATTTAGAAAACAAATAGTACAGATTTAAATTTCTGTCTGGTTGATCCAATGAAAACATCGATCGGACACACTTACGAGTATAAACTTGTACTGTAAATTTATTATATTAATCCACTGAAGTCATCCAATCCCATTACTTTTCGAGTGGATCAAAATCTGCGAAATAACCGTAGTCGGTACTGAAGATTTATTTAATACAACACTTAGAACTGTTACAAGTTTACAAACTATACAAGGTATTTATTTGTAACTATAAATCGTACTGAACTCGGCAACACCACGGAATTTCCTACAAAAGTAGAAACATGCCTTTATTTTTATAATTTATAGCGGTAAATCTATATACCGACTATGAACCATGCAAGTGTAAAAATTGTATTACAGAATGCGTTTTTGTGAATAATTGTGAATATTTGTAATAATTACTGGTACGGCATTTGCACGATATGTCACGCGAAAATAATATAGTTTCGACTGTAATTTCGTTATCTTTGTATGTTTTGGAAAAATAAAATAAATTCCATGAGAATTTATTTCATAAAAAGTATTGAGCGTCACATTCCAAAGATATAGTACCAGCTAAGGTTTTTTTTGTGGAACACACTGTACATTTTTTGCACATCCCTTTAGACTTATTTTCAGGATTTCAGGGATATAAAATTTAATAATTTTATTTATCTATTCAGAGAGATACATACAATAAAAAAAAGTAAAAAAAAACTAACGATAATCTTTTTCTAACAACTTATGCATATTGTTGTGTCCATATTTTCCTTAATATTAAACCTCGTTCTATCCGCAGCAATAACATAACGTCAATGGATGATGGAAGGGTAGTTATCCAAGTGATAGGGAGTCAAACACCTCACTGCTGTGAAAATTTTATTTCATATTTCCGGCTGTAGGTTCCTTATTGCAAAATGTTCCGAATTTCATACTCTATAATCTCCCAAATTTTCAAATGTCATTCTGTAACACCCTGTATTTATGTAATTACTGTTTTACTACGTACGTTGTAACGGTTCATATTTACCGGTATTAGAAATTAAAATTATCAAGGGTAACAATGTATAGGCAATTCTGAATACATCGAAATAAAGTAGTAATCGAATTCATTAGGCGAGGAACTAAGAGTTTTTAGTGGGAACGGAAAAAAATGATGGAAAAAAATGATGGCAAAAAAAGGATAGGCGAAGCCGGCAAGGCACGAAAAGATAGAAAGGTTATTTGTATAAAAGCCGTTATTAACAATTAACGAAACCTTTACTTATAAGATCTAAGGTCAGTAAGAAAATTAATTGCAACAATATATTCTTTATTATTTAACGTATTTTAGGTTTTTTTGTCTCTATACAACTGGTACATAAATACATGAATTTATTGTATACGGGGCGTCGCCTCCCTTGTCACCTTGTCAGCCGGCCACCAAATTTGAAGCGAGTTGCGTCATGTGCCTGTCCGAATTGCTGATGTAATTGCCCTACATGGTTTATATACCGCTTTAGACGCCATTTCGTTCCCACCCTGGATGGTTGATGCACTTACACTTACCCTAGATGGTCCATATACCGTACTAGATAACATTTAGTGCCTTCTGTGAGCACCATTATGTAAAATGCCCGTATCTGTAGATGTGTTGATAACCATATATCCGTGAGAAACAAAAGGTAATGCCGTTAAACCATTGCTGGGAATCCATCGTGAGTAGAAAGCCTTTTCTTGTCAATCTATCTAATAAGGAACGCAAGGATTTAATAACAATTTTCATGACATTTCATATATTACATTGTTTTCTATATTTTTGTAAACCTGAATAAAAATTAAGATATTTATATGTAAGCCCGGAACAGCTGTTCGAGAGGTAACGGTTATGATTATTTAACCATATCCAATTGGAACTAAACCCTAAAATTTAAGTAATATAGAAATTAACATTAGCTTTATTTATAATATACAGTATATTAATAATTCACCTACCTGCTCTTTTTGCTGAATTTTTGTAAAATTTCACTTTTAACGATTCAGCTAAGTTAAATTTTTTTTATACTAACAATTCTAATATTAAATCTTACGTTGTATCTTTGAACAATCATTCATTAATGTAGGGTATCTACACTATTATTATGTATTATTTTTGCGTTTTTGCATTAATTTCGCACTAGTTCCTACTTACCTGTTTGGAATTCATATCTGTTGGTAACATGATTACGTCCAATTGTCATTTATACACTAATGGTAGAATTTATACACTTTAATATTAATTATACATACATTTACTAACATTTTGGCCATTTTAAGTCTTATTTTTCCCCCTCCTCGTCAACCCCTGTTGACTGGCGCCCACTAGTAGTTTTGCATCGTTACATCTTAAAGCTATAATAATTATTTTTTTTACACTTACCCATGCCTTTGCTTCCACAATAAATGAGCTGCCGTGCACGTAACAGTCACTTTGAGGCGATTAAATTTTTTTGTTTTTAGTTTAACCACCTAACCGGTTTATGACCGAAGGAACGTCACAATGTACAGTACTGACTTTACTCACACTGTGCAGTACATAAAATATAGTTTTTCGAGTCAGGGTACTGTACTTCTCACTCATCGCGTAAATATGTTACAGAGTATGAAAAGTGGTATGTTTATAATAATTTAATAATTTAACGAAATATTTTACTGTAATACAATTTGAATTCCGTTCTATTAGAAAATTACATAACTTTTCCAACTATTTTTGTACAAACATCCGGTGTGACAAATGAATAAACATGTTCTTGTTAGGAAATGGGAATACTTGATGCATAAAATTAGAATAGAAAGTCATTATGCGTGTTCTAAATGTTAAAATAATATTGAAAATTAAAAATGACATGATAATTTCTTTGTTAATTCAAAAATTCAAAAATGCATGGATTTTGTTACTTAATACTTATATAGGGTGAACTTTTCTGAATAGCCACAAAAAAAGAATTTTCCCAGAACTTATTGTCCTGGAATTTGGAATCCTAAATATATGGAATATGTTTTTTCAATCTAAATCAACAATATTAAATCGATTCTAGGCAAAACGGATTAAACCTCTCTACCCAAAACACTCAAAAACTCTTAACAACGTTATAAAACCATTTTTCTTACATCTGATGTACAGAATCATATAAATAACATTTTTAGTGTACAAATTAAATAAAATATACTTGCTTAGGTATAGTCATAAAAAAACTTTTAGCTCTGCCCCTTCCACCCTTTCCCCCCTTCTACGTAACACCTGAAAAATACTGAAGAATATCACAGAGATTTCACAAAATTATCTGTCAGTCCAATATAAACAATATTGAAATGTTTATAGTTTCAAAATAGGTCAATCCAAATCCTTCCATTCGAGCGTCCATCCCATATATCTTTTTCTTCCTTGCACCTCCATTTTGTTTCTCTAACTTATAAACAGACATAAAAATAGGGTTTAAGGATAATATTATAGCTCATTTCTAATATTTTTTGTTATAGTTTGATGTGAGTCCCCTTGCCTCTCACTGATTGGGAAGCTGGTTTAAAGTGTCTCCTTGCCTTGCACTGATTGGGATGCTGGTTTAAAGTGAGTCCACTTGCCTCTCACTGATTGGGGTGCTGGTTTAAAGTGAGTGCACTTCGAAGTGCTGGCGACTGGGAGGTTTGCTTATAGCTAGTAGAACATTATTTTTTCTAGACGTTTAAATAAATGTTTTTGCATGATGTAGAATTTTTTATATTCAATTCTTTACTTAAGTGTCTTTTAGAGGTTATGCAGTTGAGTGGGACGGAGAATAGAGGGGGAAAGAGTAAGAGTTTACTTTTATGTTTATAAACAAGTGTTTTTACTTAAATTGTGTCCGAAAAATATTATTTATATGATCATATACATCAGATGTACGAAAAATGGTTTTATTACATTTTTAAGCACTTTTTAATATTCCTTATAATTAAGATGAATTTCCGATAGGGCCGAAAACCGGCTTTATTGATATTTAGAGATATTTTTTCCAGAAACAAAAAGCAAAATATAGTTATTTTTATTCCCCCTATAGATTCCTGAATTTATATGGCAAAAATTCAGTGGGTATTTATTAAAAATTAACAATTAACTGTTTACTAAATTTATTTTTTTTGTAAATTCATCATTACAGCTCTCAAATCCCTTAAAGTAAAAAGGTTACCTATCTAATACCATACAATAATGAATAATCTAATATTTCATTGTATGTTTGTTGATCGCTCTTTATCATAATCATGAGATGATAATGTAAGTAAAATTAAAACAGTAAGTAACACGATATTACACAATTTCTCCCCGTCTAAATAAAATTAAGATGGAGATTATAAAATCAGCACACAGTCGCGGACTTTCTAGTGAACTGTTCTCCCCCGGAATGGAATGAGCTTTCCCCGGACTTAGACAAATTACGAATTTACCGAGCTATGAATATCGTACTCGCGAATAATGAACTTACTACACACTCCCCCTTTTTTATGTTCAATTAGATACCACCCCTAAAACCGCATAAGTGGAAAGATGCGCACCCAGACAGAAGTTAAAGCAGAAAGTTGTGCAAGTTTTTTACCAATTATTTGAAAACAAATTCCACTACACAAGGACAAATTCAAAATTTTGAAATGTCTGCATTCCTTACATACATACTAGAAGAAAACTGAGTACTAATAGCAAACTTTCTTTTATTCTAAAAAAGTTTGTTCTAATATTAGTTATTTACTTTTTTTATCTCATTCGTTAGATCATATATTTGTCTGTGATGGGTGTTGAATATGACTACAATATGTGATCTGTTTTTTAACAAACCAATATATTTACCCCCACTCCAAATTTTTCCTTTAACATATTTCTATTGTCAGTACTCCTACTTTTTTTACTGTATCTTAGGGTAGTAATCAAATTTAAACAATATCTTTTGCATACCTTAATTTTTGAATTTGAAAAACATTGTTTGAATTCAATTGATAAGATTTTTTTAAATTAGTTTAATGCCTTCCAAATAGAATAAAAAATACAAGAGCTGATAGTAATATATATTTTTTCAGAATCTACTTGATTGAGTCAAGGAAATGTTCGTACATATAATATTATAAGGAGCTTTGGAAGTTTCGTTTATTTGTCAAACAAATTTTAAATTGATATTATTAATTATTAAAGCAGTGCTGTTTAATATATACAGGTTGTATAACGAAGAGGGCCTAGTGGCATTATCTCAAAAGTAGTCAAAATTGAAATCTGAAAATTTTATCAAAAAAAATCTATTCAATGAAAATAGTGTCAACTTTCTAGCTCTTCCGGTTATACCGGAAGTCATCATCAACACTGTTATTTCAAATTGAACACTCTGTATATTTTTGCATTTTTTAATTCTACGGTAAAATCTAGACTAATTTCATATAAGGTACTATAGGCCAAAATGTGACAGTTTTCAAGTTATTATCAATTTTCGAAAAAAATTGAGGGATGTAAGTGATTTTTGAAAACAGAATAACTCCGACATTTAACTTTATTTATTAATGGAATTTGGCATGGATTATTCAAAAGCAATGGGATGCAACCAGTTTATGTCAAATTTGCAAAAATTTATAGTGTTTAAGAACATGTGACCAATGTTGTGACGTTGAAGTTGAATTTACTCAAATATTTCAGATGGTACACCTTGTATATTGTTACATTAATGAATGCAGTAAATTTACTTCAAAATGATACTATATCCAAAGTTAACATTTCCTGTGTAAATTGGAAATTATTGATTTCAACACAGAAAAACGTACAGTGGATCTGATGCACTAAAGAACTGAATAATAAACGGTGTCTGATTAATGAACTGTAATATTTGTTATGGTTATACCGTCATCAAAAACAATAATTCAGTATATTAAATTAAAAAGGGCGATGCTTTAAATAAATCCACCATACTCGGAGATTTTTCTGTGTTGAAATCAATAATTTCCAATTTATACAAGAACTGTTAACATTGGGTATAGGGAACTATAGTATCATTTTAAAGTAAATTTAATTCTGCATCCATTAATGTAATAATACCAGGGTCTAGCATTTGAAATTTCGTTACAATACTGGCCACACGTTTTTAAACACTCTGTATGAATTTTTGCAAATTTGACATAAGCTGGTTGAATTCCATTGCTTCTAAATTATCCATGCCATATTTCATTAATAAATAAAGCAATATGTCGGAGTTATTCTATTTTCAAAAATCATTTACATCCCTCAATATTTTTCGAAAATTAATAATAACTTGAAAACAGTCGCATTTTGGCCCATAGTACCTTATATGAAAATAGTATAGAATTTGCCGTAGAATTAAAAAATGCATAAATATACATAGTGTTCCATTTGAAATAACAGAGCTGATGATGACTTTCATTATAACCGGAAGTGCGAGGAAGTTGACTCTATTTTCATTGAATAGATCTTTTTGATAAACACCTGTATGCAAATTTTGAGATTTTAATTCTGACTACTTTTTGGGATAATCCTACTGGTCCCTCTTCGTAATACACCCTGTATATATTTGAGAAATATTTGAAAGAAACATTTATTGAAAATCTTAAAAATTCATAAATTTTTAAAAGATATTAAGCTGATTCAAATGAATTCAAAAATTTTTCGAAAAAATCAGACAAGACAGAAGCTAAACAGTTTTCTTTGATGCTAAAAATCTAGATAAGTAAAAAATTTGTGACTTGTGACGTCATACACAATATATTGTCTATTGTCTATGTATACCGATATTGTGAGAAACAATACTCTATGGATTAATAAGCGAGTATGACAACGTATTATATGAAAAAATCTTATCAGAAACATTTTTTTGTTATATCTTCTGACAATGAAGATGTTTAAGGCCAAAAGAAGTAGGTAAGCTAGGTAGTCAAGTTAGACACGATCTGTTCGCACCACTAAATTTAGCTATAAAAAAAATCAAATCAGTCATATTCGTTTTTTCTGTCAATGTTTAGCTTATTCCTTACAATCCCCAAAATTATTTATAGCTTTAACGAATCAGAAATGGCACAGATCCTTTGAATATTTGTGCAAGCTTTCCCCTATTACACCCTACAAAGTCTTAAAATTCTGCGCCCATGATTGTTGAATAATGAACCAAAAAATGGTATTTTTTCCTATTTCTCATGGTATTTTTTTCTGAAATATATACCGATATTAGAAAAATTTCCCAGTCTTGTGCAATTATGATCTTGGAAAACATCCTCGAAGCAAATTAACCGAACTGCTTGAGTTTTTTTGTCCTAAATAAAATAAATTTAAATGGTACGGCTACAATATCTCAAAAACTTTCGTCGACATCTATATTTTTATTAAAAATATGTTTTATTATCTGAACATAACTCCTTTATGTTAAATATACAAACTTAATAAAGCATAGATACCTATTTATAAAATAACAGTTATAAATCAACAATATGTTGTAATAAAATTATCAAAACGTAGTCATAGTCGAAACATACTCAGTCGGCATTTCGAACAGCAGGCAGTGGAGTTCGTTCTGGCTGAGTTGATTCAACATCAGCATCCCCGCAAACTGAAACCATTACACAAAAACCAGTCAGCAGACACAAGACTATCAACAAACATGAAAATAGAATAACGTATATACAAGAAATAAAAATTAATGCGAAAAGATAAGCGGTTCTATTGCAATACTGATCTCCGTAGACAGGGTCGTATTTTGGTTCGAAGGCACTGTATATCCAAACGGAACCTAAAAAAACGTTAAATGTTAATATATTTAAGTCAAGTTAAAAAAAAAACACTTACCACATATGAAAAATACCACTTCAACTAACCCTATGATAGATATAATGCGGTCTACCTTAAAGTAACGTAATATGAAATTTCTGCCCAAGCTCAGTATTTTTGAGACTAGACCAATAACACCTACAACAAACAAGCTAATTTTAAAGTCAATCGAAGGCGGAATATATAACAGGTTTATAGATATTTCTACAGAATAAATGCATCAAATATTTCTATTAGAAATCATTCAGTTTTAGATAAACAATAAAATTACTAAAAAATAATAAAGCAATACGATGTTTTCAAAGCATTATTAATGCATCTATATTTTATACAGGGTGTCTCGCATAAGAATCGGCACAGGGCAGGTGCATGTAGGGGTGTCCAAAACATTGTAATTTAACCAAACTTACCTATATACAAAGTTGCACCCCTGAAGATTTATTAGCCCCCAAAGTGCGGCCCTAAATTTCGAAATAAATTAATATCTCTGCAACACTTTACCGTAGAAGAACCAAATTTAATACATGATTTAGGAATATTACTGGTCTACTTTGACTACGATTTAAAGTTAATTGAAGCACTACATTGAGGACGACTCACCGTTAAAATTGTACCGAACTTTTTTTTTATTGGCCGAATTAAAAAATAGTACCTAATATTAATTCACAACAGAATTTAATTTAATTTTTTTTAACTCTTGTTAAATTTTAAAAAACTTTATGAATTTCAATAAAAACCGTATTAACTGACACAAGATTTTAACAGTGTTTATTAGAAAATACCTAATGGAAAAGTCAGTAGTAGGCTTTATTTTTCAAATTTGATAATTGGCCAAATAAATTTTACTTCACTTCTCTCCTAATTCTACAAAAAGAAAACAAGTATCTAGGTAGTCTTTAAATAAGCGAATATTGTATTAAGTGAAAAACACAAATAAATAATAATAATAATAATAATTGATATTTTTCCAACATCAGAGGCAATTGTTGAAATAAAATAATTTTATTACTAAATGACAAGTTTGAAAGATAAATTCATTGCCTACTACTGACTTTTCTTATTTTCTAATAAACACTGTTGAAACCTTGTTTCAGTTAAGACGGTTTTTCTTGAAAACAATAAAGTTTAAAGAGTAAAAAAAAATTAAAATTAAATTCTGCTGTGAATTAATATTATCATTCAATTCGGTCAGTGAAAAAAAAGTTCGGTACAATTTTATGGGTGTCATCCCCAATGAACACCTTGTAGTGCTTCAATTAACTTTAAAGGATAGTCAAAGAAGACCAATAATAAACCTAAATCATGTACGAAATTTGATTTTTCTACGGTAAAGTGTTGCAGAGATATTAATTTTTTCGAAATTTAGGGTCCCACTTTGGGGGCTAAAAATTCCTCAGGGCTGCAACTTTGCACATAAGTAAGTTTGGTTAAATTACAATATTTTGGACACCCCTATATGCAACTGCGGGACACCCTGTATATTGAATTTGGCACAAGGCAATGAATTATGCAATTAAATGTTATGATGTTAACATATTTTTAAAATCTTAAACTATATTATTTATAAAGTTACTATACCTTCAGCTATCAAATATACAGGAACATTGGGCGATGCTGGACATTTCTTAAAATTTATGGCACCAATAATTAACATGATGATGTGAATAATTACGAAAATTACTAAGGATGTAGTTAAGCCAGCTAAAACAATAATGAGATGTAAATATATACGTGAAATCTTACTTAACTTTTGTATAATCAGATAGTCACAAGGTAAATATTAAATTAAATAGTCACAAACAACAATATTTCAAGCATGGTAGAAATCTTAGGTGTTAATTATTTAATCATTTTAAACTAAATTTTCATATTTCATGCTTATCTCTGTTATTCTTTATAAAACGGTAATTTGCATACCTAGTAAATTTTTTGTTTACTTTTATTTGATTATGAATACCTGATTATAAAGTGCATCGTAGAAACAGTGAGTCAGCTGCTTCTGAGATAACAGGATAACAGGATCGCTGAATGTATTACTATAAAACATTTTTCTAATATTGTGCTAATACTGTTTTAGCTGGACTAGTTTAGACTTCTTCTATCTTGGTACACATATTTCTCGAATATGTAAGACGGTTACAGTCTTGAACTTTGAAGGAGCCGAACGTGCCACGAACGCACAGGTGAACAGAACGAACGTTTTTCGAATTGCTTGCTGTATTCGACTTCTGCCAATTTCAGTTGTGTTCGTCAGATTTATGATGGACGCAGACGCATATTTTCCTTAGAGGGGAAAAAATCAAAAGAAATATGAGTGTGTCTTTTTACTACTTCATTGCAAGATTATCAATGTTTTGGATTCCATAGTAGGTACAGGAAGTTTTTCGTTTCATCAATAAGTACCAAACATTTTTCCTTGCACGATTCCATTCTTTTTCAGTTAAAATCAATAACAAACTATGATGTCACGAATTCTGTGAACGCTACAAATATTCATACTCACTGTACATCAACCAGCACTTGGATTTCTTTAAACAATTGCTTTTTACCAGCAAGCCGCGGATAATATTTGACCTGTTCAGTTCGGCTAGGGAATTTGAAGGTGCGAGCTGTACTCATTCTGTTTGTTTCGAATAAAACGCTCAAGTCAGTACACATCTCTTATGGGTAATTCGACGTCTGTTTAAAAATCGTCCCAAAATAAGTATCATTTTTTATCCCTAGGATGGCATAGTAGCATTTTGGGTAGTAAGTCGGTACAAACCTTTTTCTTATTTTCATGTCACTCACCCAAATGTGAAAATGATATTTTCAGACACCCCGTATTTCAGTAAATGTAATATTTGTAAAACAATTCATGAAATATATTATTTTCTCATAAACAGCCTCTAGCTAAACAGTTTTAGAGTGTCGTTTTTTGGTACCTACTATATTAAGGGTGTTGTATCCTAGTAGATTAATTTTTGTATACAGGCTGAATCAGTCATAACGTCATTAATTTTAAGGGAAGATAGGGAAAAATTAGTTGAATATGAAAACGCGACTAAAAAATTTGAAAATGCATATTTACGATGAAAAAAAAAATTTTCAAATCACTATTTAAACCCCTTTCCTAACCATTCCTGACCCACCGTATTCGGTTGGTATTGTATTTTTAATAGTGAACGACAAAAACAGACTTTTTACCTACACATAAATGAATAAGATATCTTTTTACATTTTAAATATTAATAAGAATTATTTATTTGTTAATTAAAACAAACGTATAAGGATAATAATTGTTTTCGAATGTTAAGTTACTGCAATTTAATTGTATGTTTTCACTATGTTTTATAATTTAATATGAGTTTTTAGTATTATGTCCAATTAATTATTCAGTTTGTAGTACGTATACCTTATTGTGTGTGACTAAAAAAACATGATATAAATCCCCCTGTATATGCAAGTTTGCCCAAACCATTTTATTTTGAAGAGTGTGTGACTCTGTATATTGCCTCATTTAGTGATTGATATTACTAGATTTGGAAGTATCAAATTTTTCAAGGCAGAGGCACATTGTTGCGCGTCACGTCTTCCATACAAGCATAAAGATTTTGTTCGAAACGTTCGCGCACATTCCAAGCATTTCCGGAGTGATTCGACGAATTCTTTGACGCAAATCTTTCAGCGACGCTGGCTGTGTTTTATAGATTTTACTTTTTAGGTATCCCCGCAATAAAAAAATAATCAAGGGGCGATAAATTCGGTGATCTTGGAGGCCACTCAATGCTGCCTCTTCTCCCAATCCAGTTCCGTAGAAAAAGTTGGTACAAATACTGACGGACAATTAACGCACAATGTAGAGAGGCACCGTCCCGTCCTGTTGAAAAATCAAATGATCTTCATCATACTCTGGAACATTTTCAATAATATCAGTCAAGGCAGGGTCAATAGCGTCTTCCAGTAATTGCAAATACATTTGGCCAGTCAAATTACCAGGTAGAAGAAAAGAACCCACCAGCCGTTCACCAAAAAATTCCAGCCCATACATTTTATTTTTCAGGTTGTTGTGTATGCACCTCGTGAAAAACTCTTGGGTTTGAATCGGACCAATAGCGGCAATTGTAGCGATTTACCGTCCCGTTCAAGAAAAAACTGCATTCATCCGAAAAACAGATGTCAAAAAGGAACTGAGGATCGTTTCCTGCTCGCTTACTCATTATTTCGCAAAATTGCAAACGGCGGTCATAATCATCCTCATGAAGTTCCTGGACTAAATGTATTTTGTATGGATGGAACTAATTCTTCTTCAAAATGGTTGGTATGCTAGTTCGATTGATCCCAGACACGCATGCCAGCTGCCTCGTACTTAATATAGGATCAAAATGAACTTGTCCCAAAACTGCAACTTCACTAGCTTCATTAACTATAGGTTTTTCAATTTCTCGTTTTTTATTGGCTACGTTCCCTGTCTCTTCAAATTTTTTAACTAACTCTAGAACATACTTCCTCCTGACATGTCGATCTTGATGTTGTTCATTAAATAGCTGAGCTGTTTTATTTTTACGAAAGTGACAACAAATCGCCAAAAACCAATTACTAAATTTATACCATTGGCGTACTTAACTCGAATGACTGACATTTTTACCGTTACTAATTGTTTATACATTAAGTTTCAACTTTAAAATCAAAATTCTTAATAAGTATTGGGCGGAATCATAAAATTTAAAGTCTGTTGTAAAGAGAATTGTAAGAGCTTTCAAACGAAATATTACTCAACCCTCAATGCCATTTAAATATTTTGGAGAATTTACATCATAATGATGGAAATTGTTTGTGGTAATGAAATACTTAACAAAGACGCAAAAAATATCAAAATTTTATGAACAAACCATTATTTACTTTAAAGATATTAAAGAAATTGTTCAAAAACCCCACTGTTATTATTAATGCATAAGATACATCTTTTTGAAACATAATTTGAGGCTTTTGTCACAGAACGGGTATCAATATTGTCAAAAGTTCCCTGAACGAATATAACACTCAGTAATATTACGCTTTCCCTCGTTTGAAAAATTCATTGTCTTTGCCGATTGAAACGAATTTTAAGAAAGAAAAATAACTGTCAAATAAATACAGTAACTAAAAGCGTTGTCAGTAAACTTTTCGATTGTTTTCACATCTACGTCAGCAAGCAACTAAAAAGTTAAAAACAGATGCAGTTTTCCCGTTTTTCAAAATAACAATACCGAATATTTTGTCGTTGGAAAGCATAAAAACAGACAATTCTTTCTAGCTCATAGCTAACTATGATTTACATTTAGAAAAAATTGAAGTTTATATTATAACTTGAAAACGAAAGCGTACACGACAATTTTTTTACACTATCTTATTAACACTGCAAATACCTGAAACTTTGTAGTTTAATTTTTTTTTTGGATTGAATTGGTTGAATTCGGATTTTTCCAAATATCTAGTCAGCCATTGCGTGAAAAAATAAAAGTAACATTTAATAACGATCATAAAGCTGTAAATCTTTCTTCATTTAAGTTTTTTGTATCTCTGCTACTTTGCCAGATCCCTACGCTAAACATCAAAAAAAACTCGCCCTGTATATAATACTCTGTGTTAATAATTCGTCCATTTCGTTTGATTTATGAGGATTAGCGAATAGGGATGTGCTGCTACATGAAACTAACCTGGAAAGTGTTACGTGACAGCAATGTGTCCTCTACAGATTTAAATGCATGCGAAATCATAAATTCAGATATTTTATAAGTTGCGTGAGTTCACTTGAGCTAATATGATAACACGTAACATGACAATAGTGTATATCTGTTTTTTTTTGCTTTCTATGTGCATTATTTTTAACTTATTTTTCAAAACTGGTCCCATTTAAAAAAAAAATATGAAATTAATAATAAAGACTGACACAAAATAACTAGTACTTTTTTATAGGTATTTTTTTATTCTTTAAGAAAAAAAATCAGGGTATCAGTTTTTCTGAAATAACCTCGATGAAAATACTTCTGATTAAATTATGGAATTAAACTATTGATAACTTTTACCTTTGCTAGAATTTATAGTATGAATACTAATAAGAATAATAATGGCATATATTAATTCCACATTTAGTATAATATCAACATTTCTGTTTCAAAGATAAACAACATATTTATGCAAATATGTATTTTAGAAGTCATTGGATGTATCATATAATTATCCATATTATACTGAAAACTTGTTTTCTGAAAAAAAACCTTGAAAATTTGTTTTCATAGAAAAATCCAGTTTCTCTCTTGTGTGTCTTCCATATTATATTAACCAACGATTTCCGTTTTATATAATCATATCAAAAACCAAACATGAATATGATAAATATCGAACAAACGATTAAGGTGATAACCTATACCCAATAATTCATCAATAATTCATCATACCTAACAAGATTGCTTATTTCAAGTCGAAAATAATTTAAATCGTGCAACAACAAAAAATGAACGTTCTAAACAACAAAAACTTGCATAGTAATTAAATAATAAGTTGTACTAAAATAATTCCTGTATTTTTATGTTCAGAAGTATATTAGAAGTAAACATTTAAATATTAACCCAAAAAAGGGACATTATTTCATATTAATTGCAATAGTTCTTGGATAAAAACTGTAGGGCTATGTAGCTACCTACCTTTCAGTTTCTTCAGCTTTTCCTTAACCCTCTCAAACCTTGATTTCACGGTAACCCTTTTCCGTTCAACGTTCTCGGCCATGGTACTGCAGCACTCCTCGCGTTCCTACACTAGTACTACGATTCGACTGAATCGGACTGAATTACTGAATCTACTACACCATTGCCGTGGCATGGCATGGACTACGGAATGGCGCCGTCTATTTTCGTAGTGGGTACCGTAACGAGATGTTCTGAAGGCGTCCTCGTCAAGGTCGATGCCATTAATCGCAATCGTATGCAATCTTTATAATTCAGAAATGTTAACCTATATACCTACGTAAGATACTTTTTTAATTATGGACTACGGGAAAAAATATACAGGGATGGCCAGATGTACGGAATAAAATTCATATCTTTTGAATGAGTGAATTTATTTAAAAACGCCGAAACACGTTAACTGATTTTGATTTTTTCCCATCTTTCGGTTATATAATAATTAATTTTTCTTCAACCTCCTAACCCCCAGCTACCCCTACTTTTTATTTTCAAATGGAAACATAATGCATGAGGGGGCTCGTTGAAAAGCTTATAGAAAACCGAATCCAGTCAAATAAACAAGTTTTATTTTTTCAATAGCAAGCAAGGTTTTTAGGGTTGTATAAAACACCTACTTCACAAGTGAAATAAAATTTAATTATCTTGTGTTATCCTCCATGAATTTGCACAGAATAAAATAAAGAATTTGAAACTGTACCTATCGCTGCTAATGCAAAAAAGATATATTTTTTATGTTGCGTTTTCTTGGCGCCTCTTACTTGCCAGGCTTTCTGGTTAATTTTTCGCTTTAGTTGTAAATTGGAGTTCGAAACGTTACTATTGTGTCAAAATCAATTTATTTACTGAATTGCAATGGTATTGTTGGAAAGGCAACGCATCGAAATCTTGATATTGCTTGGATATGGAGACAAAATAAGAAGTCAGGCTGAAGTGCGCGATTTATTTAATGCGAAATTTCCCGAAAACCAAATCTCGCAAGGGACAGTTAGTAAAATATTTCACAAATTTGAGGAACACGGTACAGTACAGACTTTGCCCAAAACTGGACGAAATTAGACATTGCATTAGAACTTGTTGAAAATCCTCATACTTCAACTGTTTCATTGGCCCGTAATCACAATGCTTCTCGTACTGCAATTCGAATGTTTCTGAAACAAGAGAAATACCACCCATATAAGGTATGTCTTATCCAAGAGCTTTTGGAAGACGATTATGATAGGCGATTACAATTTTGTGAGGAAATGATGAGACGGTGTGACGACAATAATGGTTTTCAACGAGACGTACTTTTTTCGGATGAAGCTACGTTTTATTTAAATGGAGTGGTTAACAGACACAACTATCGCTTTTGGTCCCAGGAAAATCCACACTGGACATGCGCATATGCAGCATCCACAAAAGGTTAATGTATGGGCAGGTATCATCAACAACATAATCTTGGGCCCATTCTTTTTTGAAGAAAATCTTACTGCCGCACGCTACCTGGATTTCCTAACATTTGACCTGATACCAGCTCTAGCTGTGATTTATCCTCATGAAATTGATCCAGATATACCGAATGAAAGAATTTGGTTCCAACAAGATGGCGCTCCCCCACATTTTGGTATTGATGTTCGAAGATACTTAGATGAAATGTTTCCATATCGCTGGATTGGTAGACGGGGTACAGTTGAATGGCCGCCAAGATCCCCCGACTTAACATCCCTGGATTATTTTCTTTGGGGATATTTGAAAGAAAGAGTCTACCAGGACAGACCGGATAATATTGAGAATTTAAAGAACAAGATTAGGGCGGAGATGCATAATTTACCAGCTGAAGTCATTCATAATGCTGTGGGCAGCTTTTACTATCGTCTTGGAGAATGCCAAATAGTGAATGGAGGACATTGGAATTTATTTTTGTAAATTATCTAGTTGTTTCAATTTCTAAATGAAAAAAAACTTGTTATTGAAAAAATTAAACTTGTTTATTTGGTATGGCTGAATTCGGTTTTCTATAAGCTTTTCAACGAGCCCCCTCATGCCTTAGGTTTCCATTTGAAAAAAAAAGTAGGGGCAGCTGGGGGTTAGGGGGTTGAAGAAAAATTAATTATTATATAACCGAAAAATGGAAAAAACTCAAAATCAGTTAACGTGTTTCGGCGTTTTAAAAAAATTCACTCATTCAAAAGATATGAATTTTATTCCGTACTTCTGGCCATCCCTATATATTTCACACAATTTAATATTCACTGTCCTTCACCGTACCATCTACATATCTTTTAAAACACAAGTCATTAGTAATTCAATAATTCCTGAAACACATTTTCATACATTCATAAAAATTAATATATTCATTTCAAGTACATGTTTTTTCGGGTTGTTAAGCTTTGGCCTGTATACCTGATTGTTACCAGTTACAGAGTTACCTTTCACTTCCTTAGCTAGGAATCTTTGACCTGACCTTGTCGTTCTCAGGCTAGGTTCGGTGGGGCGGACAGGCTACTAGATTACCAAGGTCCGACCTGATGTTCATTTCGAATAAATTGCAAAATAATGATTAAACAAATTGTGTGTTTTGCAACAAGAACTATAGTTTCCAAAATAATTTAAATTAATATATTTACGCATAGAAAACTATAAATATAATATACAAAGATAAGCAATAGATAAATAAAAATTATGCGCAGAAAATTATGTAGGTATAGTTTAACACTGTTATAACACTAAAAAATAAAATAAAACTTTTAATATTATGTTTAACGCAAATTCAAGTGAAATTAAAAAACAATAATAGGTATACATAAGAAAAAGTGTCTTTATTTAATTGTAAGATGTTATTATGGTAGACATTTCGAACACCAAGGTTCACGTCAAAATTTTCTGTTATTTCTTATGTATTCTTGTTAATAATCTTTTTGTTACATTTTTATGTTTACATTTTTTATTAATTTTAGCTTTCTAACGTGTTAATCTATTAATTAAAATTTTTTTGAAAAAGGATTACTCTAGTAAAACCAATAGTAGGTTCAACCACTATTACACAATTTACCTGGAAACGTAAGAAAATTTCAAGCATTCGCTTTTTAATCCGGGCGATTTAGACCCAACAAATGCCTGTTACAAAAATCGGACTTACGTCGAATTTTATGGGTTTAAAATTAAATAAAAATATACACCGATTAAAAGCCCAAATTTGTGCATTTGTAGAGGTTGAGCGTCATATTGTTTATAACAAAAGAAAAAAAATAATTGATCTTTTTTCAGTTTTTCGCTTATATCTCCAAAAATAAGCCTCTAATCGACATGAGGTATACTTATCGATTTTGTTTCTGAGGAAATTTGCTACGGATAGGCTTTTGCGAAAGCTCGCAAAAATTTTTTTATATTGTAAAATTAGAGGTGAAAAAAAAATGTGCAAAATTTTCAGCATTAAATAAAAAGAACGGATTTGGTTGAAATTGGATCAAACTACAGGAGAAGATAACTGTTGGGGTGCTCAATCCGGACCCCCAATTTGAAAATGGTGGCCTATTGCAAAATTATTAAGTCGAAAACGCGAGCGCGTATATCTTCTGCCCAGGTCAAGATATCGAAATTCGGCAAAAAAGATCGAAAGGTAATTACATTATCTCACGTCTGTGTATATTTCAGATTTTTAAGATGCAAAATAGAAAAGTTATTCATAAAAAACTAAAAAAAAACTGTAGCTAGGTTCCTTTTCTCGGCGATTTTATAATATACAGATTTCAAACAAATTGCATCAAATAGTACTTAAAAAAACATAAATTTAAAAAAAGCGTCTCGATCCGACCAATAGGAGCCGAGCTATTTTTTTTTTTTTCTTAAAAACGGTATTCTGCCTGTTCTATTTAATATTTTGTAATAAACTTAGACTCGTTATAAAGTAGAAGATTTTCTTTATACGCTGAATTGTTTCTGAAACGTTTCGACCAATAAATGACCAAGTAAACATTAAACATTCGTTAAAGGCAGCGAGATCCGCGCGGCTCATCGGAAGCCAGGAGGGGGGAACACTGTGACGTCATAGTGCCCTTGCTGCGCTCGGCGTCACAAAATTCTTACTTAACAATTTCGCAATTCCGCAAATTATCCAGGTAAAGGTAATTTACAGCACGTAATTACTGGACTATTGATCAAGTATACATAAATATTTTAGAAAAAAAGTCACAAAAATTACTTTTCACTAAAGGTGTTGGGCCCCACATATCATACAAAATGTAGGTATAAAATTGTGTTAAGCTATTTATCCGTTTTTGAAATAACTAAATACACTGATTTTTTTAATTTAAAGTCCCATATCTCGAAAAGGGGCATTTTCAGACCAATGTGTATACATATAAACTGTTTTGCATATTTTTACAGGAATATTCCTTAAAAGTTTTTGTACTTCTCTCCTTGTGCAAAACACTATAGAAATCTGTAGCAATTAGATACAGTGGTAGCCTAAACCTTTTATTAAACTGTGTAAAATTCAAATTTTGCACAATTATACAGTGCTTAAATATAATTAAGTAAATACGGCACACAATTCCAAAAATATTATACAGGATATCCATTAATTCGGCTACCAAGCTTCTCTGTTGAAGGGTATTCCTTGACCAAATGTAACGCAGAAATTCAAGTACTTTCACATTCGTAGGCATTCACTTTTGGCTATTGTATATTTGCAGCATTATAAAAAAACGTTCGTTAAGTTTCGAAACTGGCCATGAAAGAGTGATAGTAATTGAAGAATATACCATTAAGTATAATTATTTCCGTAGAGAACATATCAGTGAAGGCTCTCATGTTTGCCTCCAGATGTAAATAAACGTTTCCGAACTATTGAAGACGAATTTAATACCTCTAATTAACTAGTTGTATGTATTTACATAGCCAGAAAAGTATTGTATTCTTGTATAGAGAGTATGTAGTGTTTTTGACTTTAAAGAGTAAATATTTTTGTAGCGTAGTTTTTGTCGTTCTTCTTTTTGTGCTGTTTACAAAATGTCAATGCTGACATTGCAGTGGCAACAAAGTAAGAGAATGTATTATACAGAGTGGTCCAGATTTTAATTAACAAACTTCGGAACAGTACTAAACAACAAATATTAACATCACTTTGCTCTATGAACAGAGGCGCAGAAAGCCACTGTTTATGAGATACAGGGCGTTGAAATT